AATGACAGCATGCAGATCCCTCTCCAATAACTCACGCAGATCAAGTGAAATGAGGGAGCTGAGATTACCTATTTCACTTGGAAGCTCTGTAATTTGATTCCTATCTAAATTCACATAGCGGAGGTAAATGCAGTTGAGTGTCAATGAAACATGGCAAGAAATCGTTCGATAGCATGCAGATTAAATAATTCCCACCCCAATTACTCACCAAAAGAAAGATTTTCAAGGAAGCTGAAACTTGCTATTTCACTGGGAAGCTCTGTAATCTCATTACTACCTGTATTATCATGGGGGAGGCAAAGGCAGTTGAGTGTCAAGGAAACATAACAAGAAATTGCAACAATGTAATGACAGCACGCAAATGAAACATTGCCTGATCCAACAACGCACCGAAATGTAGGTCTTTCAATAACCTGAAAGCGTACATATCAGTTGGAATCTCTGTAACACCATTTTGACCTACAATCACATGGTGCAGGCGAAGGCAGTTGAGTGTAAAGGAAACATAACAAGAAATTGCTACAACGAAGTCATAGAATTTGGATGAAAAAATTCCGACACAAATTACTCACTCATGCCAAGCTTAGTTAGGGAGCTAAGCTTACCAATTTCACTGGGAAGATCTGCAATTTCATTTCCAACTTTAATCACATGGTGGAGGCCAAGGCAGTTGAGTGTAAAACGAAAAAAAGATAAGATGAAGAGAAAACAATGAAGCAAAAGCATTGATATTAGGTAATGCATAGAACATAATGAAAACATCTCAGCACCAATTATTTTTTCGTGGCTCTCACATAGTTCTAATGAAGAAAGTGATGACAACATGCCGATCATAGTTGGGATATAATCAACATCCCAATCCCTGATATCAATTCCAGACAGAGACCCTCTTTTTGTGCAATCGATATAACTCCAGAGACAATGTGGTGTTGAGTCTGGGTCTGTTTCAGTCAATGTGAAACCGGGTGGAGCGAGACCATCGAATTTCATCATTATCAGTGCAAATCGGTCAACAAAAAATTCATCATGGCAATTCTGTCCATTGCTTTCTTCACTCATCCAACTTAATGCTTGCAACGAATAATCTCTGTTGCTGTGGATGTTGTTTAATGTGTAATAATCAGAAAGTTTTTCGAATGAGCAAGTTTGAATTGTCGCAAAAGAGGCTGAGTTCTGAAATTCGCTATTCATCTCAATGATTCTTGTGTTTCTGTCGTCGATAGGTCCTTGGAAAATTGTCAAGTCGACAAACAAAATATTATCAACGGGCTGATCGGTTTTGTTCTGAACTTCAATGGTACACGTTGCTCCATCCTCAATAGAAACAGTTTCACTCCCATTGGTCATCATTTGATCAATATCTACTATCAAAACATGCTTGTTGCCACACTTGAGTGTCAAGGTAGGATTGATAATCTCAAGTTCAGCCGCCTCGTCCATGACCCATCGAATCGTCTCTTCATCCTCACCATATTTCTTTTTAACATAATCTATGCTCACGCCACTCGTGATATCTCCAAGGCGAATGGTGATTGGAACCATATCTGGATCAATGCAATTTGGAAATCCATGTCCAGTAGCATTTCCCATTCCACCAAATGGGTCTGTGGCTGCACCAAGTCCACAATTGGAATGTGAACACGTAGCAGAGCAACAATCGCCACCGTCGAATCGATATCCAGTGTCTCCTGCTTCATTCAGGTTTTCGTTGTTGCAAATTCCATCATTTAATGAAGTGCAAACTAGGTCTTTGATATTATCATTCACTTCAAGAAAATACATATTTTCAAGAGGAGTGCCAGCTGCAGAAAACCATCCTTCCGAAAAAGTGGTTGAGACATCAAATGCCTGTATCTTTGTAGAATACGCAAGCATTTTATTATCCTTAAAGGCAACACAAGGATCACCTTCACCCTTGAATAGGATCCAACGGCGTTGATCTATGCAGTATCCAAATGTAAGAACATCATCTGATTCATAATACTGCCGGTACATATTCCTGTTGAATACATTGATTGACTTGGTTGCATCTTCATCAAATTCATAGCATCCACTGTAATCTCGTAGCTTTTCATCTTCAAATTCCACTCGAAACGTTTTCGTCAACCAGAGGTCCTTATTGTTTTGATAATAGATAACAACACTTGCAAGCGAAAGAAGGATAAAACTAGATATTCCTACTGTACAGAGGAACCTTCTGTTTTTGTGTCGCTGAGACATACATTTTGGAAGATCCAGGTTTTGAATGCGTTTTGCTTCATCTTCAAGCTTTGCTCCATATTTTCCTGACAGGGCCATCTCAAACGCAACATCGTCCAATTCACTGATGAAGTTCTGTGGAGAGAAAATAGAGATAAAGATTGGAATCACAAAAGTAAGGACAAAAATGACGGCGATTTAAGTTTCTTGAGCTTTTGGCATGTTTTCACTTGACTTAGAACTCACAACTGCTGTAAAATTTAGGACAATATCAATCACATTATCTGAGGTGACAATTAGCAGGAGTGCTGTTAGCATTGCAATGAATCCTTGTAAACCACGAGCAACACAAGAGAACACCATGCATGAAGTTGCGCCATCCTTAAATGTTGGAAAAGTCTCAACTGCTACGACAACGTCCATCAAGCTGTAGCTTGCAAACCCTACATAGCACAAGATTGAAATCATTTGTGTTGCCTTGACATACGGACTTGCATTTGCAGCAATAGATGACGGGAGGACACCATCAAGTGGATTATCTGAATCCAACTTGTTGCTCCAATCGCTATCAAGGGCACTGATCAACATTAGGATAAGGAATGACGCCTGGAACGCAAAGACTGACATTCCATAGCCAAAGAAGAGAGGATTGGAACAAGGACCGTGAAGTGACAAGAAAGAGTAGCAGTCATCTGGAAACTTCTCGCGTTCTGCCTCATCTTCTCTTTCAAATTCAAAAAATTCACCCTGTGCCTCCAAGTCTCGAGATGTGCATGCATCAGCAACTGCCGCATCGTTTTTCTTGCCATCCTGGGTATCAGAGAATTTATACTTGTCTTGCTCTACATTTTCTTCTGGTTGTGCTTTCAACTCGTTTCCAGAAGATGCCCCATTTGCCTCCGTCTCTTTGGCGCCAATTTCTCTCTCGTACGTCTTGCTCTGCTTGGTTTTGTCCCGTGCATCCTTAGAATGCTTTCCTTCCTTGCCTTTTTGCGACAAAGGACTATCTTTGTTGCTGTCGACAAGCATGTTTCTTTCTTCATGACCTTCCCAGATTTCCTCGTCGTGATTCGATTCTTCCAGCGAAGAGACACCACTCGTGATCGACTGCTTGGGATCCCCGTCCACTTCTTCCTCCTTATCGGGATCGTTTTCGATTTTGCGTGAGTTAATCTTCATCCTGGTGCCTGTGCTGATGTTCGTTTCGTATGTGTTTGATTCCGTTGCGGTAGTGGCGGTGGATGTTTGCATTGGTGGTTGGCCACGAAAGAGGATCAAAGATTGTGTATCCGACGGACGATCGAAACAGGATAGAGCAACAAACACAAACGATTTAGATTGGAAGGAGAAGCGTTTCTTTTGCATCGTGTGCGACTGCTCGCAGCACAGGGACGAACGCAACGCGTGTTTGCTTGCTCGAAATCCCGTACGCAGCTCCTGTTCCAACTGCGCTGCTCTAGACTGAAACAATTTGGAAAACAACAAACCTACCTTAAACGACTAAATCTATCTGATGCAAAGTTTGACGTGCTTCGAGTATCCAGTATCTGTACCGTATGTATTTCTGAGCAATCAATGGGGCAGACAGTGTCAGCGATGCAAAGAGCTTGGTCGTCGAGAGCTTGCGTTAGATCGGACAACGAAGTGCTTGAGCCGTGTTCCGATGTTTTACACGTAGTGTTGTGCATGTACTGGTGCAAAACTAAGAACAACTAAAATATTTTACACGTAATGTTGTGCATATACTGGTGCAAAAGTACGAACAATAAAAACAAAATTTTAAATTTTACTTAGTGCTTCCAGAATTTTCTTACCTTTTTGGTCGCGTTTGATTCTTTAGGACTGAAGCGGTATTGATTTTTGGCAACGACAGATTGTACCTACTGGTACGTACCGTATGTTTGAACAGACAGCATTGGATTACCAATTTCGGCGTTCACTACCGGCACTTCCGGAATCATGGTGGTCATTTGGAACCATTGACGCACCAACTTCGGCAATGAGAAAGAGTATTTTGTACGAGGTGTCTATTTCATTATTTTCCAAATACAGTGCCGTACTTTACCCTTCTGTTCTTACTGTACGGTACGCAAACGAATACTCAGAATAGTTCTACCTGTCGACGACATCCATTGCTGTATGTGATGTGCTCGCAAGCTCCTACTGTATTGGTTGAGTCACGAAAACCACAAATGTACAAACATGCGTTCAGTACGAGTACGAGTTCGTTAAGTACTACTTGACGAAGAATTGCGTACTACGCTGCCTGCGTCCCGGATCCGGAACTCGTACTGTGAAACGGATTTTTTTGGTATCGTACGTAGGTACCAGGTACCTACATATTAGGGTACGATAGGTAGGAATGAGTCCTACGGGACGAGCGGAGCGGGAATCGAGTCCAATGAGTCAAAAACTTGGAATTGCCAACGCGCGCGTGGGGACACGACTCTAACGGCTCACGGTTTCTCCAATCGAAACGACGGAAGAAAAAAGGAAGGCAGAACAGTGCATACGGTACGGTACAATACGAGGAGTGCTTCTTGTCCCGACATTCGAAAAGATATACGGCACACCAGAGGCAAAACACCCAGCATCTAGGAAGAGAAAGAAACACGCATGCCAGCAGAGGAAGAGAGATTGGATTTCTCGCCCGTTGCCAAAAACCACAACCACCATTCGATAGCCACGGACCGCGCCATGAACTCCCGGCCACCGGCTCGAAGCACTACCAAAGTGCTGCTGCCCTTTCTGGCGGCGGCACTGCTGGCCTCCCTCGCCGCAACCCTGCACTCCCTGCGGTTCGATCCGGGGGTGCCAACGAACGACGCCGGCCGGGGGGAGCCCCCGCCACCACCGATCGAGCGGGTCCGCCTTTCGCTGGAGGAAAACCCGCGCTTCGAGCGAAGCGAGTTCACCCTGGACACCTTTCCGGTCGGGGGCGTCGACCTCGCCCTCTTTGGGCTCGGACCGGCTAATTCTCCGCTGCCCGCTCCCGAACCCGGCCCGCGCGAGGTCTTTGACCTGTTTGCGGACTTTGACCTGTCCCCCAAGATCGTCGGCAACGAAACGTGGGTGGACCTCCTCCGCTACCGGCGGGACGCGGACGCCACCAGCCTCTCCTTTTACGTCGACAAGGTCGCCCGAAAGCGGTGGCTCCGCACCCGAGACAACCTGGACGGCATGGAGGCCTTTGTCCTCAAGTACGGCTCGGAGCTCCTCGGCGAAGGCGACGTTTCCGCACACGCTTCCGCACACACCGAGCGGAGCGAGAAACACCGCCGGGACACGCAACAGGCCTCGCTCGAGGCCCTGCTGCCGGTTGGCAGGGACTATGCCGCCAAGCCCACCCACCTCTCTTGCGCAGGCGGTGTCTGGCTGACCAAGACGGTCGGGAACACCACCCTCGTCGGCCACGGGAAAAAGCCCTTTGCCGAGATGCCCGGCTTTGGAAGGGCCCTAGTGGCGGGGGACCTGGCCGACAGGCTGCAAACCGTCCAGGAGTCCTGCGGCCGGCGGGTTCCCGAGTCCCTGGCCCTGCGAAGGGTGAAGCCCGGGGTCGTCGTCGAGGAGCGCTTTGCCTCGTGGGAGGCCTCCACCGGGGAAACCGACGACGACCGGGGGGGGACCGAGTTCAAGGTCTTTACCATCTGGGGCCGGGTCTGGCTGGCGGTCCAGAGGCCGGGGATGGACGGGGCCGTGGCCATCCTGCACCGGAACGGCACCCACCTGGCCTGGTCGGGCAAGTCCGAGCCCCTCCCGGACTGGATCGACTGGCCCAGGATCGTCGCCATGGCCGAGGAGTCGGGGCGGAACAAGGACATGTTCCGGACCGACGTTTTTGTGGGGGTCCCGGCCGGGGGAGGAACCCCCAAGGGGGACGGGCCCGCACCGGTGGTCCGGTACGTGGTGTCCGAGAGCGAGATCCACCCGACCGAGTACTTCCACGTGAAGGGCACCCAGTCCATCTTCAACGAGGGCGGCCGGTTGTGGCTGGCGGGCTACGCCAGCGGGAACTACCGGGTGGTCCCCAACACCGAGGTCCCCCCTGCCTTTGTAGAGCACGGCATGCTGCCCGAAGCCTGGGACACCGACGCCGCCTGAGGGCAGAGCGCACCACAACAAMCCGACGAACCCGGCTCGGGGGCATCGTCGCGCCGAATCGGCTCGCGCAGGCCATACGAATTCCACACCGCCATTGCTGTAAACTATATGGAAAAACGCAAAACACYCTGGTTGGAAMTACACCGTGCCACTATAAGAATCGATGCGACGGCCACGTTTCGTTCCGATCCGTTGGAGGAACCCACACTTTGCCACATCCTGGGTGGGTCTTCGTTCCGATGGCGGTGTCGTGTATACTAAAAAGATAGAAGCAGAAAGTGTAGAACACGAAATTAAAAAGTTCTACTTGTTCGTTTGAGCCTACTAGTTAGATAGAGAGTGATGCTACGGCACGGWCCAAGGCGGTGCGCTGCTCTGCTGGTCCCGGCTAGTAGGACTCCGACTCCTCGCGCCTCAGCTTCTTGCGCTTCTTGGTAAACCCGCGCTTTCTCGAAAAGGCCTTTTGGACCTTGCCCTTTCGCGCCGCGGCCTCCTCGCTGYCGCCGCCCTCTCCGAGCCGGTCGTCGACCTCCTGTCCCTCCAGCTTCATCCGCTCCTGCTGGTGCTCGGCCTCCCGGACGACGTCCACCAGCTCGGCTTCCTGCTCGTCGTAAAAGACGATGCCCCGGCCGGTCCGCTGGCCGGCACGGCCGCAGCGCCCCATCCGGTGCAGGTGGGAGACGACGTTTCCGGAGAACTGCAGCTGGACGACGGCGGTGACCCCCGGGACGTCCAGCCCGCGGCTCGCCAGGTCGGTGCACACCAGCACCGGCACCGCGTCGCCGTCGTTGTCCTTCTCGTTTTCGCTGGAAAACCTCCGGAAGCGGTCCAGGTTCTCCGATCGCTCGTTCAGTGAAATCTTGGCGTGGTAGGACACCGCGTCGACGCCGCGCTGGACCAGGGCCTGGTGGACCCCCTCCACGTCGTCGACGCTGTTCAGAAAGACCATGGTCTTTTCTCCCTTSAGCCCGTCCTCGTTGTTCTCGTCGCGCTCGGTCACCAGCAACTCGGCCAGGCGTTCCATTCGTTCCTTCTTGGTCTCGACCTGGTACCACTTGGTGGCCTTGGACAGGCCGTAGTGYTTGGCGTTGTGCATGTTGCCCGTTTCGATGCGGTTGGCGTACGGGAACCTTCGYTCCAGGTAGGCGTTGACGCTCTTGAGCCCGACGTCCGGAAGGGTGGCCGCGCAAAAGATGTGCTGGGTCTTTCGGATGGTGCCCGGATCGCTGGGATCCGCGCTGGGATCGACCAGCCTGTCGGCCCGGCGAAAGCCGATCAGGACGTTTTCCAGCGCCCGGATGTATCCCCCGTCGAGGAGCATGTCGGCCTCGTCCACCACCAGCGTCTTGACGTCCGCAAAGAGATCGATGAACTTGGGGGGGAGTCCCAGCGGGCCCAGCGCCGCGGGCGTGCTCACCACAATGTCCACGGGCGGGTTGTCCCCGCCAAAGCCGATCGAATCCCGAAAGGGTTTGAAGTCCATTGGCTCCTTGAGGGCGCCCGGCATGACCGCCAGGCGGACAATCTCCGAGGGATCGGTGGCGCCCTTGGTGRSCGAGGCCGCCAGGGGACCGAGCTGCTGCATGAGGCCGGGACCCCCCTGGGCCCAGACCACCGCCTCCTCGATGCTCCCCCCGCACAGGGGGACCGCCATGCGCAGGACCTGCTGGACGAGCTCCTTGTTGGGGACCAGGACGATGGCCCGGGCGTAATCGTACGAGGGGAGGCCGCCGCTGCCCCGCGACTTTTCCTCTAGGATCTCGTCCAGCAGGGGCAGCAGGTAGGCCAGGGTCTTGCCGCTCCCGGTTTCGGCGCCGATCGTGACGTCGTTGGCCCACAGCGCGGAGTCTTCGTTCCGTTCGAGGATTTTGGAATAGGTCTTGGCCTGTATCTGCGTCGGCTGCGCCAGGCCGAGAGATTCGAGGCGCTCCAGCAAGACGGGAGACCGGACCCCTAGCGATTCGAAGGTCACCTCGGGATCGGCAAAGAATCCGTCGTCGTTCCCGCCACCCTCGGAAGCAACAACCGATTGCGACGAAAACGGCCTTTGTCGCGCGTGCGGTTGGAAGGGCCTGGACGAAAACGACGGGGTTTCTTTCGACGGCGTTCTTGCTCTGGTTCCTGTCGCTATGAATGCATGCGTTCGTGATCCGAAACGCCTCGCCGATCCGTAGGTGGTCCGTCGCCCCTCTCTTGCCGCGGATACGGTTACTACGAGTCCGAGCCCTCGTTTCGTCATCGTTGCCGTCGTCAGCGCAGAAAACATGATGAGTATTGCCGCCGCGAACACCCTTTGCTGCCTCCTACCAAATAATGCTGCTCTCGTAGATGATTTCGTCGCTCCCGTTGTTGTAAGTGATGCCGGATATCTGCTATCGCAATCGCAATGGGCCTTTCTCATCTTTTTTGGTCCTCGGTTTCGAATGAATCGGCTGGTGTAGCGAGCCGCTGCAAAATGGATTGGGTTTGGTTCTGATTCTATTCGATCGGGTACCGTGGCTTTCCTTTTGTCGTTACAAAATGGACAGAATGCAAACTTCGGATCGAACTCCCTTGCCGTACGGTACTTCGGTGTCCAGTACGAAACAGAAACAGCGACAGAAACCAAAAACAATTCAGGTAGAAAACCGTGTCTCAAAGAGAACTTGTCGTACTTTACTGTACGTCAGAGTACGAACGATTACCACGCCCATCAATCACTCAAAACGAAAACCAAAAATCATACCGTAAGGGACGTACGGTACGGTATGCAACCCATCATTTTGCGATTTTGATCGGGTCCAATCCAGACCGAAAAGATGATAGGACATACTACTTCCACGTGGAGTATTTAGACTTCCGTCCATCCTTCGACATCCGTCGGAGAAATCTTTTCGGAATTTTCGAGAAGCCAAGGTCGAACAAAATAGGTGTTTGTTGTTGGCATCAAGTCAGCAGGCCAGAACCAAAAAACAAAAAATCATAGCATTCTGTGTACGAAGTCACGGGAAGAACGCTTCGTGATGTCGTCTGCTGTTTCGTTTGAAAATGATGTTCTCGTAAGCATCGGAGAACCTTGATGTGATGTGGGCAGAMCCCGACAAAACCTGCCTCTATCTCATTCCTTCTTCTTCYTCTTCTTCGTCAACCTGCGGAAACGAAAAACCAGAACTCTCACGTGACTTGGTGCGGTACCGTACCCTGCGTGCTAGTGCCACAAACAACAACCCGTGGAGATTGAAGTCGAAACGCAAAAGTTTGTGCTGCCCAAACAGCGAGAATTAACCGATTCGGTCGACAATGGTCTCGTTCCTGGTTCGGCCCCTGGCGGCAGCCACCATCCTTGTTGCATCTGCCTCTACGACCGTCGTCGAAGGTCTCCTGGCCGTGCCCCCAACACCGAAAGCTTCCCCTGTTGCTACTGCCACTAGCACCGCACTCTTCTACAAGAACGCCACGGCACCAAACCCCGATGCCCCCGGCGCCGCGGACGCCGAGAACGCGGCCGCTTTTGCACTGGCCGGCGACGAGCCGCAAAACCAAAACGCCGCGACGACCGCTGCAGCGCCGGAATCTGCCGGCCTTCCCGGCCTCGAGGAAAACGATCGCTTCGAMTGCCATCCCTCCGTGGCCATGTGGAGGGACTTTCAGAACCCAAAGCACGGCGCCGGCAACGGGACCTACGACGCCCGGCACAACGTGCAAGAAATCGGCCGCATCGCCAACAGGTTCTGGAACGAGGCGAGGCCGAGCGGCCCGGGGCTGTTCCCCTTTTCACCGTCCCCCCAGGCGTCGTATTTCGCCAGCCACGTCGCCCGGACGGCCTTCTTCGTCGCCAACGCGATCCTGGGGACCTCGGCCCACCGGCTGTCGAAGCGCGGAAGGGGCACCGKTKGGGGAGACACCGGGAGCCAGGGATCGTTCCTGCCCATGGGCATCGGCAACGACCTGGCGACCCGCCTGATCCTCGAGGCCTTTCTGTGCTACGAGCAGGACTATTTCGATTCGATCGCCAARGGGGCCTACAGGGAACCCTGGGACACCAGGACGCCTGRGCACCGCCAGACGAACCCGCTCTTTGTCGCGGACCAAATGAATCGGTTCGYCCGGGAGTCCATCGGSACGCTGGGGCGTCGGTCTCGGGGGACCGATCGAGACAAGGAGGTGAGGTTCTTCCAGAACGGCGGCTCTTCCAAGGAAGGAGGAACCGCCACGAGCAACATCTATCCCGAGTATTACCAAACCGCGTTTCATTACCAGGGAGACGGTGAGTATATTTCTACGAACGATGCAGTGTTCGGTGTTGTGTGTTTTGTGTTGTGCAATGCGATGCGATGCAGTGTAGTGTAGTGTAGTGTAGTGTGTGCCGATTCCGTGCAAAGAGATATTGGCCTAATCTTCGCACCCGTGCATCGGCTTCCCCCTGTTTTCGTTTGTTTCGCGCAACCGCTCGCTCGAACCCCCGCACAGGATGGATGTCGTCGGACTCGGCCAGCGTCTACGAGACCTCGACCGAGACCCTCTTTCTGGGGCGGCAGGACTCGATGCAGCGCACGAGCCTGCCCCCGTTGGTGGAGCTGTCGAAGCGGCTCCCCCCGGCCGGTGCGGGGGCTTCCGGGGGGCCCCTGCGGGTCCTGGAGGTGGCCTGCGGAACGGGCCGCTTCCTGACTTTTGTGCGGGACAACCTGCCYCTGGACACGGAGTGCACCGGGGTGGATCTCTCCCCCTTTTACCTGCAAAAGGCCGCGGACAACGACGACTACTGGGTCCGGACCCGAAGGGCCGAGGAAGACCAGAAGCAGCGGCGCTCGTCCGGGAGCGGGGCTATGATCCAGCCCTCCACCCTGGTCCAGGCCAGGGCGGAGGACCTCCCCTTCCCCGACGGCTCCTTCGACGCGGTGGTCTGCGTCTACCTCTTCCACGAGCTGCCCCGGGAGGTCCGAGCCGCCGCCGCCGCCGAGATGGCCCGGGTGGTCGCCCCCGGGGGGACCGTCGTCTTTACCGACTCGATCCAGAAGGGCGACCGGCCGGCCCTGGACGGGGCGCTGGGGAACTTCCAGGAGATGAACGAGCCCCACTACAAGGACTACATCGAGGACGACCTGGGGGGCCACTTCGAGGCCGCGGGGCTGGTGCCGGAGACCAAGGTGGTCCGGTCCAGCACCAAGTCGCTCTCCTTTTCCAAGCCCGGGGCCTTTCGGGCGGCGCTCTGAGGGGGCGGCGCGGCGCGGCACAGGCGGGTCCGGTGGACGGAAACGATCGATCGATCGATCGATGGATGGATGGATGGATTTGGTACTACGGTACAGTGTGTTCTTTTTGGAATTGTTGCAAGAGAAAGAACAATTTTTTTAAATCTTGAGTTATAGTCAACCTCGTGAACTAGAAGAGGCACTAGGTTGTCCAGAAGCAGAGCTTCTGGGGAGATGAATGTTCCTACTAGTTGCTCCAAGATGCGGCACCTCCCTCCGAGGAGATGTGATGGAGAGAATGACAAATACTGTACTGTAGGTTCCTGTAGTACGGTACGGTCGTACCGTGTTGTTGATACTTACGTAGTAGTACAGTACAGTAATACGAAGTACTTCGTACTATTTTTTTGGGGGGTTTTCATTCCCGACGACGAGTCATTCCGAGGAGTCGTTCGACTACCTGTACGACTGATAGCGGACGACCCGCGACACAATGTTTCAGTCTGTCCACACCACCACCACCTTCAAACGCATGTCACGGCACCGTACGCCTTGCGCCACTCGTGAAAAACCGAAAAACGAAACAAAGGTTCGGCGTTTTTCGAGAGCTTGCAGGCCAGGACAACATTTTTGTGTAGTACCGGTACGAGTACGAGTACGAGTTCGAGTAGTACTCGTAGGAACCCGCACGAAGTGCTTTCTGCGATTGGTGATTTTTGATTTTTCAGCAACAGTGGTGGAATACAATCCCCGTCGCAGCTTGTTCATTATATTCGCTCTGCACCGTGCATTCCATTGGTTGTCTGGACGCCAGTGATCTAAGCTATCTTCTTTTGCAGTGTAAGAAGAACCACCACCGGCCTCCGAGAAGAACCCGAACGAGCCAAACCAAACCAAAGCAAAGCAAACCCATCCAGAGCCAACGCCTCTCACAACGATTGTTGGTTGGTTGGTTGGTTGGTTGGTTGATTGATTGATTCACCATGGGCGGCGAGACACTCGAAGAAATCGCCGCGCGAGTCAAGGCGGAGCGACGCTCTAGGATGCGTTCCAAGATGCGCGGAATCGCCGTTCAGTCCGCGGCACCGACTCCGGCGACACCGGTCGCGAGAGAGAACGCCAGCGACAACGACAACGACAAAAACAAAGACAAAGACAACCAAAGTGCTGCTGTACATCCAGATCAACGACCCCGGCAGACCCAGGGCGGCCCGGCCTCTTCTCGCGATTCCGGAGCGAGAACCGAGGATGCCGCTGCCGCCACGCTGCCCACGGGGGACGACGATCGTGTACACAACAATCAAACAGACGGAAGCAGMAGCAGCAGCTATGCGAACCGGCCCGATGCCAATGCCGCTGGCGATGCCTACGAAAGSCGTTCTCGGCATCCGCCGCCGCAGCGAGCGACCGAAACAACAGAACGACACCCCACCGAAAGGATCCACGGCCAAGGCCACGAGAGCAACCACAACCACGAGAGCAACAGCTACTACCCCCACGATCCTTCTCCGGCCGTTTCCAAAGGMCMCCAGAGCGCCCCCCGCCGGCCCGTGTCTCGCGGGTACGACACGAAACCCCCCGCCACCCGGGCGAACGCGGGCCATCCCCGCTCGCAGCAAGAGCCGCAGCAGCAGCAGCAGCAACACGAGCAGCATCGGTACCGCGGCGACGATCCGTATGCGCAGCCTCATTCTCTGTCGCAGTCGCAGTACTACGATGGTGGCCAGTACGACGGTGGCCAGTACGACGGTGGCCARTACRACGGTGGCCARTACRAYGGTGRCCAATAYRRCRGTGRCCAATACAGCAGTGGCCAATACGACGATGCCCCTCCATCGGATCGCCAACACCAGTACTACCACGACGATCCTCCCCGGGACCAGAGTTACCAGTATCCGCACGACGGCGATTCCCAGCGGGGGGCGTCTTCCGCCTACGATTATCCTTACGAACAACAGCAGCAACAGCAACAGCAGCAACACAACCACGAGGAGTACTACAACGCCCGCGGCGACTATCCGCAGCACCACCGCAGCGACTACGACTACCACGACCCCCGRGGGAACGCCCCCGCCGAGCGCTACGACGCCGCCGGGAATCGGGGRCACCCGGCCGATCCGGCCCCGGCGGCAGCGAAGCCGCCGTCCCGGGGGTACGCGACCGAGCCCGTGCGGTCCCAATCGCAGTCTCGGTCTCGGTCCCGGGCGCAGACCGTGTCGCAGTCGCAGTCGCAGTCCCTGCACCGCCCCCCGCTTTCCTCCTCCTCGGCGGACGGGTACGGGTACTACGACGACCGGTCCGCCAAGCGCCGGAAGGGGGAGCCCGGGCTTTCCTACGGGCACGACCCCCCGCAAGAGCACCAAAGCCGGCACCCCGGGCCGGCCTACGGGCACGGTCCGGGCGGCGGCGGCGACGGCCCCAAGCCCCCGCAACGCGGAAGCCGGAAGCGGGGAAAGGGCGGCAAGGGCCGGAACGCCAAGCCCCAGGTGCAGGCCGGGAGGGGCGGCAGGGGCCGCGGCAACGGCTTGCTCAAGCCGGCCTGGATGTCCGACRAGCAGTTCTTGCAACAGCAACAGCAAAAGGGCCTTTCGGCGTCCCCAACGGTTTCCGCGTCTGTCTCCGTGTTTTCCGGGCCGGGCAGGGGGATGGGCCGCGGCCGCGGGATGGGCCTGCTCAAGCCCGCCTGGATGACCGACGAGCAGTTCCTGGAGCAGCAGTCGCAGCAGCAGTCGCAGCAGCAGTCGCAGCAGCAGTCGCAACCGCCACAGCCGCAACACGCACCCCAAAGAGCCGCGCAGGGGGAGGCGCCCCTGCCCGCATGCGAGCCGTTGCAAGGCGGAAGCAGCCAACCCCCCGACCGTCCCCCCCAAGGCCGGCCGGGCAAGAAGAAACGGGGCGGGAGAAAGGGCCGCGGCCGSGGGGGAAGGGGAGGAAGCGGTGGCGGCGGCCACCCCTACCAGCAGCAGCAGCAGCAGCCACAGGCCCCTTGTCCCGACGCAGGCGGGCGGGGCCGCGGCCGGGGCTCGGGCCTCCTCAAGCCGGCCTGGATGACGGACGAGCAGTTCCAGGAGAAGCAGCAGCAACAGCAACAACAACCACAGCAACAACCACCGCCGCCACCCGCCGCGCAGGCCGCCGGGCCAGGGGTGGTTCAAGGCGGAACCGGAGACGAAAGCATGGGGCGAGGGAGGGGACGGGGCCGGACCCTCCCGGCCTGGATGACCAAGTAAGAACGCACGCCACGCCACGCCACGCCACGCCGTGCCCCAAACCGAAAACGCTCGTTGGGAACACCAGGCGTGGCGTGCAGTGCGGTGCAGTGCACCCGAGCCCGTGCGTTTTGTGTGTGTGTGTGTGTTTGTTTGTTTCTTGCAAAGGGTGAGCGGCTCTCTCTCTCTCTCTGCACACATTTCTCTCTACACAAGGCTTGCGCCCTAGCAGAATCGCTTGCTTGCAAGCCCAAAACTATTTTAAAAAAAAGATCCGGTAGACAATTGGTTTCTTTCTTTGTTACTGTATGGTGTAGATCGGTAGGTAGGTAGGTACGGTTACGGTAGTAGAGTAGAAGTACTTTATGGTAGATTACTGTAGTTGTCTTGGAATGCGRGGCCTGCCCGGGCACGAACCCGCGCCTTTGGCGTTTCTACGCCCCCACCTTGGCGGCCAGCCCCGGCTCGTTCTTGAGCATGATGAAGATGTCCCGCATCCGCTTGGTGCTCTCGGCGTTGTCGGCCCCGTCCTGGGTGAGGTCGACCATCTTGCTRACGCGCTGCCAGCTGTTGTCGTTCTCCAGGTCGGCCTCGATGGCCTCGAGCTTGGCCTGCTCGTCCTCCCGGTTCTTGGCCATCTTGGCCTCCCGCTTGGCCTGGGCCCGGGCCTGGAAGGCCTCCAGGGCCTCCCGGGCGGAAGCCTCCATGGCGGCCTTGGAAGCGTCCTCCTCCGCCCGGCGGGCCTCCAGCGTGGCCTGCCACTCCTCGTGGAACTTCTTCATGGCGCTGGGGGCTTCTTCTTCGGCTTCCACCACCGCGGGTKCTTCGGAAGGAGGGAGAGGGGCCTCCCCGAGAATCACGGTGTTCTCCTCGATGGCCGGCGGGGGGGCTCCCAGGAGGATGGGGGCGCTAGCGCTCTCGTCCACGTCCACGGGGGCGGCCGCAAAGCCCATCTCCTCGGGGGAAGCCGCAAAGCCCATGTCCGCCGGGGAGGACTCCTGGACGTCCCCGACAAAGGCGGCCATGTCGCCGGGGGCCGGTCCCATGGATTCGGGTTCTCCCAGGAGGGTGAAGCCCCCGTCCTCTCCGGGGGAAGCGGTTTCGACGGCGGGAGCCTCTCCCTGGAAAAAGTCCATATCGTCGGCCATGGTTGGAATTGGTAATTGAATTGGTGAGTGGAGTGGAAGGTGTAGGGGTACGGTGGGGTGGGGTTGGGTTTCGGTGCAATGCTCGGAACAGCCGTGGTGTGTGTGTTCTTGCTGGGAGCAATTCGTTCGCTAGGGGTGTGGAATGAACAGTTACACTCACTGTTGTTACTGTTACACGGACGGATTGCACGATCCGAACCAGCACCCGAAACAGTCATTTGTCGYGTTCAAACGGTCACCTCCGTGCGGTGCGGTGGACAAAGCCAACGAGGAGTACGGTACGAGTTACTCGTAGTGAAGTACCGTACGGGGCCAAGGCTCTTCGTTGCGTTCCTACGCTACGAGTACCGTACTTTACGGTACGGTGCTCGTACTGCGTTGCACTTTGTGGTGCGGTGCAARGTACAAACGTCTACGCTGTGCTACGGTACGATACCGTACGCAGCAACAACAACCCCCGACATCTTTTCCCATCGATCGCGTTCCCGCGCTCCGTTMCGTTGGCACGATCCGTCCKACGCTGCATTCGGTACTACGAGTACGCTACGCTACGCAGCGTCCGTACGGTACGRTACTATTRCCACCGCCACGGATGGATCCAACGGATGAAATTTTGGTGGGGGGGGAACGGGAGGCAACGCGCCCCCAGGAAAACAGTGATTTGGGGGTGCAGAACCAACCAGAAATCCAAACCCTGCGCGGGGAGAAGAACGGCGTCAACACCTTGCGCGGTCTGCGCGAAAAACGGCGATGCGGTGCGGTGCCGTACCGTACGAGTGAGGTTCCGCAGGCAGCGAGCGCRGCACTTTGCTGCGTAGAACGCCGTGCGATACGGTKGTACGGTACMRGCMKSTWC